ACGAGATATGTCGAGTATGGTATCATTGTCTAGATAATCAAAAATCATGGTTAGGTTCCTTACACCATTTTTCATTTTATGTGACTGTTTAGGACCTACAATGATTTAAAGTTATATATTAACCACTTGTGCTTTTAATTTCAATCTTACGTTTGTACGGGTGTTTTATACTCTTTCACTCAAAAAATACTGATAAACAATAATATAGCTTCGTACATAATTATAACATATAGATAAAAAAATGGGTGCGTGTACTTATGTAGGCGCGTGAGAAGTTATCCTTCTTTGGCATCGTTTAAAATTAGTTTTTAATTGCATGCAAATAATTAATTACAATAAATTAATAAAAAGTCTGGAAAAGGACACAGTCAATAAAGTTCAGTTTTAATTTGAAAAAATAAATAAATAATCAAAATATTCAATTAAAATCGCTACTGAATATAATTTATTAGAACATATGTGATTTGCACTTGTATGAAAATCAAACACGTATTCCGAATATACAAACTAGAAACATGTGGATAAATATTATAAATATGAATACCTATAACTGTTACTTTATTACAAAAAATAAAGATGTGGTTTTTGGTTCTACTACACCAATGGTCAAGAGATGGCGCTGTAGTCTCCTGAATCGCGCTTTGGTTCCGTTGTTCCAGATTAATAAATACTTTTGATAGGCCTTCACAATGCAGTCGTTAGCACCCACTAAATAGAGATTCTATTTCTATTTTGTTGGTAGATTTTCTTAATGTGCGGTAAACACAAAAGTAACGGATGACGTCGCTAAAGCGACCAACTTCATGCTGTTAAAATTTTGTGTTACAGTGATGCGCGCGCATCTAAAAATTTCACTCTCATAATTTTTTCATAACGCGCCTAAAGAAGTATAACTTCAATAATTTATGTAGTTATTGAGTGAATTGGCCAAAATATAACAATATCAAGTAAGACGGAAAAAAATCTCCCTTCTGCGGATCATTTTGGCCTGCATTGCAAAAACAATAAAAGTTACATGAATATATCGTATAGTGGAAATTTATCTCTTAAATAGTTCGTAGTATCCATTTCCAAAATGCACATTTTTTAGTAATATTTATTTTTATCAAAACAAGTACTTCTATCGCTTATGATATTTAAAGACGATAAACTTTGCTTTTATGCTATGTCATTTCGACAAATATTTAAGCAGTTACAAGCTATTGCAAAGTGATAGCGAAACAAAATTTATAAAAAAATCTTCTCCCCCCATTCCCGCAGTCTACTCCTGCATAGTACACCGGGAATGGGGGGAGAAGATTTTTTTATAAATTTTGTTGCTGATAAACGTAGTTAAAACCTAGGAGCGGAGCTCGATGGTGCGGGTGGTAAGCGCATTCGGCTGCGGTCGTTGAAGTTAAGCAACTTTCGCAGTGGTCGGTCATTGGATGAGTGACCAAAAATCTTCTCTCCCGACTTCCTTCGTGCTTCGGAAGACATATTAAGCAGTTGGTTCCGGTTCCATCTGCAGTCGTTAGCCCGAAAGCTACTTTAGCAGGCGGGACCCATTAGATATTCAAGATTGGATAATTTATTTTCAATAATGGGTCCCGACTGTTAAAGTAGCTTTGTTCCTTACTTAACAGAATTATAGACTTCTGGACTTGTTGTTTTCTTTTCAGTTTTTATTTAAAGTAATATTCATGCAGACGGGTTTCTTGATTTTTTAAATTTACCTTTTTTTAGATTCTCGCTTTGGACAATCGTGACTGACCCTAGGTGCAAATGGTATACTGCCTTAAAGCTTAATTAATCGCGAGAATTGAGAATTGAAAGTCATTTTTTTTTTTTTCCAGTAAGTCTGCGAAAGGATAGAACATAAAAAGGCAGTCAGTGTGTACCTCCTGAATAAATAGAGCATAACACTATAATTATATGCAATACATACATAGACATACCTACATAAATGTATGTCTATGTAAGTGTTGTATATATGTATCTTAAATTTTTTTTTACTTTTTAAAACTCAGATTATAAGGTTTTTTTTTGGAAATTTCGGGTCTTTGTTCTCTCTCTCTCTCTCTGTCTCTTCAAATAAGTAGCTATCTATATGTGTTTATATATTCTTAGGTTTGTTTGTATATTCATTGAGTTTATGGCTCTATATTAACGTTGTGTGGAAATAAGATATCTTCGAGCTGTTTAATAAAATACTATGTCCTTCTTTAGGCGTAGTAGAGCTGGCTTACCTTGCTGGTAATGGGACGAGCCGCTCAGTTTGCGTCTTCAGAGTGATCTTTTAGCTTTCTCTGAATACGACACTGAGTGGGCTCGCTTCGTAGTGGTCTTTCTAGCAGAGTCTGGTTATTGGCTGTAAGCTCTACCTTAGGATAATATCGGGACTTTACTTAACAGGAGCACTCTGTCTCTTGCAATCGAGAGAATTGGTGTCAAGACAAATAATCCCTATCGCTGTCCTGGCGGAACTTGCGTCGGTGAGTTGGGACATCATGGACTTAGTGTTCAAAGCGGCGCATGGGGTCCAAGCGCTTGTTCCTTTTTTAAGGAATTGGCAAAAACATTTACCAAGATGACCAATGATCAAAAGGCTGGCAGTTACCTTGCTCAATGGATCAACCTTGCCATGACAGCAAGAGCGGCTTTTGAATATTTTTTTTATTTTGATATTTATAAATTATTCCAGTAAGTTTTAAGGTCATTTTGATTAGTAGGATTGATTAGCTTAATAATGAAAGATGCTGGTTCTATTCTAACATGGAGCCCGGTACAAGTAAATTTTCTAAACATATTTATAAAAATCTAATAGCACATGTATGACTTTTATTGTAGAAGCTGAATAGATAGATATGTACAAGACAATTTGTTCCGGATGTGAATAATTATATTTCTTCGGGTTACGTGGCAAAAGCTTCTACTGTCCAGCCTTTAGTACCAGCGTCGAGTACACAGGAAAATAATATAGGGGAAACCACCCAATCATTGGCACTCTTCCTATTATAGGCACTTTTGTACAATTCAAAACAATGATACAATAGAGCTTGAATGATCTATTGTATCATTGGTTTTTTCGAACTTAACTCAAAAGTGCCAGTGATATGAAGAGTGCCAATGATTTTGTGGTTTCTCCTATGTACCTACCTACTTTGTTTTCTAATTAGATGGCATATGGAAAGAACTATAAGTTTTAATTCTTAAGTTAGACCTTATAGTTCTAGTAAACCCGTTACTGGCATAACCATGAATCCGACAGCGTCATTCTGCACTAATAATACATGGAAATTAAGTCGCTATTCAATGTAGCTTAAGAGGATATGGGCTAGCCCTAACACAGCTTAAAACTATAAACAAATGCTGAACTATTCGCCTGCACCGGCTCTATGTAAACTTAAACTAGCTTCCGAAATGAGATAAAACAGGTCCAAGAAGTTAAATGAGTAACAGCTTTAGCGAAAGTTAAGTTTGCGTTTAAACTTTTACTTTGTAGGTATAATTAAGTTCAAGCAATTCAAGAGTACATGTATACTTATATAAATAGATAGGTGTTCCCACACGCGGCTTTATAAAAAATATGAATTAAAATTGGAACATCACATTGATTCACTGATGGTTAGATTTTTTTAAATACGGTTTAAGTTACTCATGCAAAATCGGAAGAAAAACAGGATACACTTTAAAAAAAAAATGTTTTTTTTTAAGCGGTGAACTAACAAGCTGTCACGTATTTAACCGAATCCTAATTTTGTATTTGTGGTTTTGTTGAGTTGAGGTTGTTTATGATGCTTGGCAATTTCGCAAGCAAGATACCTGCATGTCAGAAAAACTTGCAAAGCAAGAATCTTACCTCTTAAATGAATAGAGTTTTTGAAACATTACCATTGTAAAGCTATTATTGCTTTCTAATTATTTGACCAACAAACCTACGAAGGAGCTTTTTTTGTTTGCCTCTAACAGTCAAATAATCTCATGGCTTTTATGTATGTAATTTACTTGTATTGTATAAACTACAAAATTAGGAACAACAGGCTAAGAAATTACAAAACCAACCATCGTATTGATAAGGCACGGATAATACTACAACACCAAAAACTAAATTTTGATACTCAAAAGCGTTTGAGTCGAAGAAGTGGTTGAAAGTAATCACTCCACAGTCAAATTCCTAATTTAGAATGGATTTTAAAAACCAATTTATCCAGTTCGCATTAACTGGACTCCTGACACGGTCGAGGCGGCTGAGGATTAATATTTGAATAAATCTAACTATTAATCTTGTTACCCGCCAACCACCCGCTGTTTTACTTATATTGGCTTTGTGACTGCTTATTGTCATATAAATTCACTTTTGAGCTTATGAAAATATGTAATCAAATATTGTATTCAGCCTTTTTATAACCATTGTCGTAATATTTTTCTGTACGAAACATTGTAAGATGGTAGGTTATTAAGGTTCTTGCAAAATGTAGAATTAATAAGAAACTTATAATGTATTTCATTTTTTTTATTATTTACCACAAACAGGTTAGAGAAATAACAAAACAAACAAAAAAAAGATAGCACATATCAGCTATATTTGACCAACTAAAATACAAGATTATAATAATAAAGACTCAATTTAAGACGGTGTTTAATGAAACTCCTTTATATAAAAGTTTCAGTTATGATTTTTACAAAGAAGCATCAATAAAATTTATTTTCATACATATCAGAAAAGAGAGAGCATCTTATTTCATTTTTACGAGACAAACGAGCTTTTATGTATCTTAATGTATTAGTAATCTATTATTATTTTAAAACAAATTTTCATCAATATAAACTTTAGAACAATAGTTCATACTTTATTCATTTTCCCATTGACATCGTAATAAAAATAATTGTAAACAAACATTTATGTCACGTGGTGTTAGTCGGTGTAACGCGCAACTTTGAGAGGGCGATTAAACTACAAAATGTCATAAAGCAAAAGCACGGCCGGCCGGCGACCGCGGCTTTGGAGGGGAAAGTGGGGAGAAGGGGAGCATAGCCACCAGTATCTCGCCGACCGACGCGCCGCGAGCACGTTTGTGATGCGCACCGCGCTTTGACGCGAGATGGCCTCGTCCTCCGGCAACATCGTCGTTGAGTGGTTGCGATCTCTCCACTTAGGCCAATATTCGGAGAGTTTCATCGACAATGGTTATGATGATCTGGAAATATGCAAGCAAGTCGGAGAACCTGATTTGGATGCAATTGGAGTTTTAAATCCAGCACATCGTCAAAGATTGCTGCACTCTGTAAGAACTTTGAGGGAGGAAGGTGCAGCCGCTGTTTACTTTACATTAGAAGAAGCTGCCGCCGCTCGAGATTCGTGTCGTTGTGAAGAAGAAGCTAGGAAAGAGCAGGCGGCAGCTGCAGTGGAACCGGCTAAATATGCGGATGAGTATGAAGAGGGAAAAGCAGAGTTGGTGAAGATTCCGCGTATGCAGCTGAAGCGGTTGCTTCGGGAACGCCTAGCTCAGGATGGGATTCGCCTGAGCCTCCAGCCTTACTCAACAACGGTCAGTGTTAGCCCGACAACTGTATGTCAACGGGTAGTGCTTCTCGCGGTTTTTACACGTGATTTGTGAAAGTGACCTTATCGGTATTGATGAATGAGTTCGGGTGAGAGTTTAGAGTAGTGTTTTGTAAAGTTCACATTGTTGGGCCGCGTAGAGACACTGCCCGTGTTATTTCTTTTGAATGAGCGCGTGTGTGGCGCGGGTCGTCTTCGGCCGCCCCGGGCGGATCGCATCGAGACGTGTTGCCATAAAGTTTGTTGCGTGCGTGATTTCCCTCGAGATGAGGAGTTTGCGCGCCTTCCTGTCGTGAGAAGATTGTAATCGCGTGCCTCCAGGCTCTAAATTGGGTTTTACGATAAATCGTGTAACCTGTTTCAGTTCCCCGAGGCGCTAATTAGTAATACAACTTGTTCAGACATGAAACCAACATCGCAAGCAACATAATGGATTGTGATTTTTAAAGTCATTGTTATTTTTTTCTTAACATAAGTCTTGGCTCTTCATTTAATGCCATAATATCTTATTAGCTCTGAAATCAAAGTAAATATAAAAAGGCTTCGTAAAAAATACTACATTAATCAAATAGATATAATTTGATGGAACTGAGTTATCAAAATGACGTTGTAGTCCATTAACTGATTACTTTTGGCGGAATTATTATAAAGAATTATAAACGTCGATTTGAAAAAGAAACAATACCATTTATTTTGGTAATTACAACTTGAATTAAAAACCAACATAAAGTGTGTTGTATATAATCAAATGACACTTAAAAAAAGATTATCATATTGATATTCCCAATCCCCTCATTACAAATATACAACAAAGTTACATAAGATTGTGTATTTTAGAAAAACCTTTACTTTCGGCTAATATAGTATTTATCTACTAACTAGAAAATGTCGAACATTAATATTTCTTTCTGCAAAATATTCATAAATAATGAAAAAATATTAAATCAATGATATGATGCACATTTTAATATAATTTGTTACTCAACGATTTCTATTCGTTGCCACTACTCCAAAAACACGTAAACAGCCACTGTTTACATCTTCGAAAACAATTTAGTCAGCATATTCCACCTCTTCATCACATGGGCGGAAGAGCTTAGTTGATATTTTAATTGAGGTGTTATTAATTATACCACTGGGTAGTGATTAAGAGGGCGGAATATTACATCGAGGACACGCCCTTTGGCGTCGTGTAAATCGTATCCAACATTTGTCAGAACATATATACGGCAAGCATGAATTTAGGGTTGAGTCAACACACTTATCGTACGATGATTCTTTCATTATCGCATATTGTAAACTTAAACGAATCGCTAATACAAAAGAATACTGTTGTAATATTAAAGATATTTGTTTTCACAAAACACGCACAAAGAAAATTTTAACAACTATTTGACGATCCTTACAAAATATAGACGGAAAGCTTACACGAAGTTATTTATAGTCGTACCTATACGCTGTGTAGCTACTACTGTATTACCAATACTCTTTTACTGCTTCCTGAACGTAAAACTACATAAAGTACATGGGTAACTTTCCACGTATTCTTTGACTTTTATTATATACTTGCAGAATTTCTTTGTTTAACACGTACACACAATGCACCGTTTCTAACAAACCAACTAACAAAGGTTAGTAAATGGCTTGCCACAATGGACAACATAATAAGCTTTCAAACATTATTCAAGAAAGACGCGAGTTTACTGTACTGGTTAAACAAACCATAGAAGCACATTTTCGTATTGCTCCGAAGGAAGTAATCGTAAGACTATAAAATATTTATTTAAAGAAGAGTTCGCTTTCAATTACTCATACTATTACACTCTTATTTCGGATTGTGAAGCGATGAGCCTACCGTAATTACCTGTGATGATTTTTTACCGGTTTCGGTCCCCATGTTGAAACCTGTTCAAGCTCAAGTGCGCCAAGAATCCACACCGAACAGTCGCTCGCTTGCTAGCCAGCAAAAAAAGAATCTAAGAAAGCCACTGGCATCACAAACGTCCAACCGATTCGCCCTTGAGTGGAACGGCTACAGTAAATATTTACCGAGAGTAAAGTTTGCGTTAGACACTTTTACTAAATCTGTTTATTGGAGACAAATTTAACGTCGGCATTACATTTAGTAGATCGAATTAAGCACGATCGCATATCCAAATTGAAAATTACGTAACCAATAACGTTGACGTTTATTTAATTAATCTACCTATTTGTATCAATTTTCAATGAAATAATCGGTCGTGCAACCATTAAATGAATTTAACGCTCTGCTATCAGTATATAGTTATTGTGCGTCCGTTGCACCCCATGCCTACCTGGGTCCATTCCCTTTAACCGTTCGCAGATCGAACAATAAGGATCGGCAGCAGATTTTTTGTCTAAGCCATTTATGAAACGATTACCGCCGGAATTGTACACAAAAGCTCTGACAACATTTGTCAGGTATCAGTAACGTAGTTCCGACCTAATAGACCAATATTTATGTTTTGTTGCCACCTATTGTGCGTGCCACATCCGCTCGCTGTCGATAATGTACGAAGTTGCCAATGATTTCTAAAGGCCTCATAAAACAGAGGTCACGGTCACGGATAGCTTAATAGTCCTGATAATTTTATCTGCATTTAAGTGTAACTAATATTTTGTATTTTGTAGGCGAGCAGTCCCTATATGCCATATTGCCTCCTTTGATTTGTTGCTAATTCTATTAAACGGGGTGGGGGAGCTGCGTTGCGGATGTAACGGCTTATACCATCATTAACGCCTCTGGTTGGATTGTATTTCTTTATCAAACGCACACTTTTAAGGTGCTTTACATTACAAATTGTATTTAATTACACGTTGAATGTTCTCTCGTGACAAATAAAATGTACATTATATTGTTATCATTACACAAGATAAAGACACGTCTGAAGCATAATGTAGACAGACTTAAAATGTTCTCGTTTTTATCGCTACCACTTACCAATACTTCTATATGAAGTCTGTTTAAATGCCACGCATATTTTAATAGCGGTAAAAAGCATATGAATGTAGCAGTAGTGATGTGGACGTCAATAATAAAATAAATGCCCTGTAGTATATTAAAAAAATAGACTCCAGTCTTTTATACATTTCAATAGGAGTTGACTAAAATATTTCATAAAAAGTTATTGGTTATGGATGTCATATATAATAATAATAAAATCTTCAAAGTTATATTGACTTATAAATATTTTTTAGGTTTAACTCAGTTGAGTCAAAAGATTGAGGATACAACAGAAAATACGGGTAGTTACTTATTTTAAATTAAAGTATTAACAATACCATTTCAAACCTCACCATGATCTTTATTTAAAGAAAGATAGAATTTGTTGACCAATTATTATTTAAACTTTTGGCTTTTATTATTCGGAAAAGGTAGTCTGATACATATTAAATTAGTAATACAAGAGGCAAATTATTTTCACTTCAGTAAGACAGCAAGCATCTTTCACTTTGTTGTCACTATTCCTAAAGTGAATTGTGTTATTTCAGCTAAATATTATGTCTGATTTAGTTGTAACAAAGCTTAAAGCGGATGAGTTCAATAAAACCTAATGTTAACCGGAGTGGGTTTTTCAACTAATGCCAGTACACCTTTGTTAGGCGTGAACGTATGCGTAGTCACGCGGTATAGCTTACCCTGTTTGGCATTCGTGAGGCGCTTCATATTTCTTACGTCTCCGGTAATTTCATGTCATATAACTTTTTACATCGTCCACGAGTTACGTACCTGTAAAATTTTCTTATTTGCTTCGGACTGAAATTATAATGCACGTAAAGTTTGACTACAATGTAATAATATGGATAGTATCGAGATTTTCCCAAACAAATTTTAAAACAAGAGGTATCAATCAGCAGTAAAAACGTCGTCCAATTGAATTAATTAGTTTCTGAGAATCCTACCTTCGAGAAAGATCAGATTACAAACGATAAGACGATAAAAGGAAAATGTTAAATTCGCCAACGATAATGTTATCGTAACGTGACTCAATTGATGTTCGATTTTTTGTTTACATTTATGAAACACTGAAAGGGTATAACGAAACAAAAGAAAAACAACGCAGTTAGAAATTTACAAGCTTGTACCTAGTTGGTACGTTCATTTCAAAAATAGGTAAATACTTTTCAATTGAAGTAATGCAAGAGGTTTTCAAAACTGTTCTTATTGGCAATCTTGTTAGGAGGCTTCCGTTATTATTACGAAGAGTGGGGTACTGAAGTGCAAATAGATCAAACTTGGACGTAGCAGGTAGTACATAGCTAGTTTGCTTGCTGTGTTCAGCTGTTTGCCCCCAAGTTGAGTAAAGTCGGAAAACTAGCCCGAGAAGCGACGGTGGTTGTAAGGTCAAGTACCAAATTTGCGCTTGAATTAGTTCTACTTTGAATGAGCTCCAAGTTTCAGTAGTTGACGACTGCTGTTGTACCGAGTATAATATAAAGGGTACATAATATTGTTTAAGTTGAACGTGTGCTTTATTATTTAAGGAAACAAAGAATAAAAGAATATGAATTCTTATATTGACGTAAAAGTAATAGACCAAAAATGTAAGTACCTACGTTAAAAGTGATAATTATTAACTTATATACTAAAAATAAAAATAATAAAACTGAAAATGTTTGGCTTAATATACATAGTCCAGTTAATATGTAGGTGTATATTATTATTGATACTATCCGAATGAGAATATTCCTTCGAATGAATCTTAAAGCGAGATTTGGCTTTAGTCACTTTATAATCAGCGCAAAACTACTTTTACAACAAAAAAAAACAATAATTGGACTCTGACGTTGCGACTCGATAATATTCCAAAATCTTTTAATGTTGTTCTTTTAACAACTTTTACATGTAACATTTTATTTCTAATATTATGTTCATTTTAAAAATACTGCCTTTCTACTTAAAAAAGTATTAAAAGCCCCCACTAGTATATAATGCTTAAAGGCTGGCGCAGGCTGCTAATATGA